TTTTTTAAGAACTAAAACTGGCAACAACGAAATTCCTATAATAATGTACATATATCAGTATCATCACTAGATATCTTTCAAATTTATAGTAAATTGCTCTGTAATATTTTCGCCTTAGTTCCATTTTTACTTAACCATTTACTTTTCCATTTTTAAATGTGTGATAAAAAAATTATTGTAAATTTTTTTCACGCCAACTTTTTTCTAAATAATTAATAAGGTTTTATCTTAAAAATAATATATTGTTAAATTCAAACAATTGTTATAAACTAGAAGTGCAATATTTTTAGTGTGCTACATGTATTCCATCTCAATATAATAAAAAAAAATTAGGTGTTGCCAACAAGACACTTATAAAAAAAATAATGAAAATTGATACCTTACCAAAGAGTCCTCCGGTAATAAAGACACTGTTAACGAACGTAATTAATATAAGAAACAGCGCGATAGGCTTTCCTTCCCTATTAATATTCTCAATACGGGGTACCTAATGGAAATCGATATTCCCAAAGGTAATTTATTTATTTCACGAAAAATATTAATTGCCCTAGCATTTTTGAATGCTAATTACAATAAAATTCTTAAAAATTATATAACTATAAGTACTTTTGTATTGACAGTATTTAATAAGTTTGCATTAACAATGTTAATAGATAATATTAAAATTTACAATTTGAATTTTTTTTTCACAAAGCAATGACCAAAGTACTAGTGGTAACCTCCGAAACTCGAAGCCTATCTACATCGCAGCGTCTGCGTCAGAACTATCAGTTACGCCACTGCTTTAAATAAAAATAGAATTGCTCTCTAATTAGTAAATGTATTCAGTATTATATGCACAAAAAAGAAAAGCACAAGTGTAATTTGAGAAAAAAATGTTATAATATTTGTTTTACTCTTTTTAAAGTAGGTTGAAAATCAATTATCTATATATTTTTGTTAGTAAATAATCTCAATTTTAATTTTATTAAATTTAGATTAGCTTCAAAATCTGACGCTAAATCATTACGCAGTAGGCCGCATATTTAGTAACATATGAAGACAACAATATTTAATATCCTAGTAATATGCGAAAACTAAAGTCATAAAAAGACGTTAACTAACCACTTAATCATCACGTATCTGTTGTATTAAATAAATAAAAAAGATAATAATAAAATTTCTTGTGCCGTCAAATAATAACTAAGGCATCTGAAAATTCCACGTAAAAGAAATATTTTAGTGACTTATATTCGAGTTATCTGAAATTGATACTTTTTTATCGATCTCTGAGAAAATAAGGTAATTTTTAACAAGCCCTAATATAAAAGTCCAAACTTGCTTCTTACTCCGTTTAGCTAATGCTTTACTATTATACTTGTCCCAAAATTTACCTTATAGACATTCCACTAACAAAAGAAAAGTTACCTTGTCGCAAACTCACTGTAATGTCATTTTTAATCCCTTAATTAAAAGTTTTCGTATAAAAAAAAGTCGAGCGGCCGTGGGCTATTTTTCATTTTATTCCATGTTTTCCTCGCTGTGTAACGGAAAGTTAATTGGTCCAACTCAACTCGAAGTTGTAATTTGTTTAGCCCTCTTTCCGTACATCTGTTTATTACAAGCCAGTCGTGTACATTTTTTCTAATTTTTCATTAACCTAAGCGCAAATGAAGCACCGAGATGGAACACACACAACCAATATTGAAGAATGTAAAAAATTACAAACGCGTTATTTTTCATTAACTGTTCTCTTTCTGTGTTCCTACTAACAACGAGCTCGCGTTATTAGTATTAAATATATTACAGAGACCATTTGAACCTATATTTCTCATCATTGTCCACGTAGAATGGAATAAAATATACCTCATATTTTATTACTTAGCAAATATTCAAACATTATTAAAAACTTCTTATATTATGAATATAACTGCAATCCTATAAATAAAAAAAAAAGAAAAAGATTTTTTACTAATAAAATCCTAAAATATATTCATTTCTTATTTTATTACTCAAACTAAAAAAAAAACATATTTTTATCATTTCCTACGTAACCCACTTTTAGACGTAATCGATCCATCATTCGTTGGCTCAATATATAAGTATAGTAGTGAAAAAGGATGTCAAAATTCATACTCCTTATCTCTTATCTTATTCTTTATGATTTTTTAGAGTATGTTTGTTCAATATCACAAACAAAACTACCACTTGAATGATCATAAAATGAATGAGAATTCTATGGCATCATTAAATATGTTTACGTTAATACACCATAAAACCTGACTACCCCATAGTAATTGAACCTATATCGACATATGATTACTCTTATAACGTCATTGAACTTCAAAGATGACTCTTGAGAATTGTGCTCCAATCTTACAATAGATGACATAACAAAGGATTGAAAGGTTATCTGATTTTGTAAACAAAACCTTCTACTCACTAACATGTTCCATTGAGTGTAATGACTGTGTACCTCTACGTTTTAAATTTAATCGTTATTCTACTCCTGATGTTAATAAATTTAAATATTTTTTTTTTTTTATGCAACTTAGAATAGCAAGCAAGCTGTCGACCCATCTGAAGGAAAGTCGTAATCGTTGCCTATAGACATGAGCGGTACCATGAACATAACAGAATATAATGTTTCGCCCATGATATCTCCCCTGCGTTGCCATTCCTGAGGACTCAGGTGTTATTCCTTTGTACCCTGTAAATTCACTGCCATATCCCCCACCCTCCAAATCGAAACACAGGTATGCAAACACAACTGCTTTACGGTAGATACACAAATAGGATAGAAGTACCCAAGCAAACGACTTTTGTACATAATCTCCCTCTGGTAAATTGTAATTCTGTATATTTGCTTCTCAATCGCATACTTAAATAACTTAACGGATTTACTCGTAAATATGATTTAGTACAGAGGTGGTCTATATTTCAAGTGATATTGTAAAGAAAAAATACTTAACCCAATTTTCAAAATTCTTTCATCTATAAAAAACTAACATATTAGCTAGTAACATGAGTTGTATTTCCAAAACATTATAAATCCCTACACTATCTACTCGTGCGAAGACGGGTCACCAGTCCTAAATTAACATAGAATACATTTTACCCCAATTCATACGAACCAATCCGTGGGAAGTATCTGGTATATCTATAAATAAAACCTTTGCTTAAAACCGCTAGCTACTAGTTGCTCTTGCAGCGTAATATGTACGAAACCCATTATTTCTCGATCCCTTGAATATTCTGGGAAAATCACATATATCTAAAAATAATATTTAACTATGTCTTCGTAGATAATGTCAGTCAATTAGTAAAATTACATCTTTTATAAACAAGATGTTAGATTTCAACATTAACATATGCAAAATTATAGATACCCAAAACCTATGTTAGCGTTCGTAAGACTGAAACAAGAAAATAATATTTATGGTTATAGTACCTGAACTGTCATATGACCATGTAGTTAGTATTACAAAATGAGACAATTGTAGAAAAATTTTGCGTCATCTATGTGAATCTCTTTGAATCATGAACAACCTCTTAAACGCTATACGGACGAATTGCTTTTTAAAACTGCAATAAAACTGCAGCTATACGGCAGCATTAACTGCTGCGGCAAACGAAATACTATTCTCGACTGACTATATTCTTCTATTCTTTATGGCCATTCCCTACCGACCTTAATTTTATAGTAAGCAAAAAGGAGCTAATACTCGTAGTGTACAGCGATATTTATTGTCGAGAATTTGCTTTAAATTAGTTACTTAGTCAGCATTGTAGATACATGCGTGTTTCTACTACCAATTTACGTTAAATCGCAGAAAGTAGTTATCGGTTTCTCATGAAACGTGATAATATCTTTTGTCCTATAAAAGATATAGAACCATATATTTGTTCACTCTATATATATATATATATATATATATATATATATATATATATATATATATATATATATATATATATATATATCTTGATACGATACCGCTGAATATCATTCATTTCATAATTAATACTTAAATATCATATTCGAGTAGTACTATTCGTTTCTCAAATGTAATTTACTTGTACCATACTGATATTGTCTAAATTAGTTGTGTAGCGGTTTAACACACTACCTCACCATGCCATGATCGTGAGTTCGATCACCGTGCAATATAAACATTGTATTAAATGTACGTCTGTTTGTACTGTATATAATATGTAATTCAATTAAAAACAAAGCTATCTTAATAAACTACGGGTTCACTTCCTAAATGACTTTTAACACATTTTTAAATCTCTTTGTTTTTCTCTCTTTTTTTTTGGCTTTTTGCATAGGTATTTTAATGCCTTATTTTATATTACTTATTGTAGTAATTTAACATTATTACATGTATGTATTTATGCAGGTAAGTATACATATATATATATATATATATATATATATATATATACATATACATATATTTGTGTGTGTGTGTATATACATACATACATATATATATATATATATATATATATATATACGTGTATTAACTTGTACTTATTTTAATAGTAAATGCACCACCTACTTAATTTTCTGTTTGCCTCATGGATGACTGGTAGAGAACGCCGTTAAGTGTTAAGTCCGCTATAAGTACACTTGCTTATATAATTATATATTCATTGAAATTTAAATAAATAAATAAATATGTAGATATATATTTACAAAAAAATAAGTATTTAAGTATGTCTATCTATTCCACATAGTAATAAAACCTTTGCTTAGATAGCGTTATGTAATATGTCCATCGGTATTTATTATCCTCAACTAATATTATAAATGTGAAAGTGAGTTTGTTTGTTTATTTGTTAGTCTTTCCCATCTAGACCACTGAATCTATTATGATTAATTTTGATATAGAGGTAAATGGGACACAATGACGGTTATGGACTACATTTTCTCTCGGTCACTGAACATATTTCGGTCACGTAGATGACATCGCGGGTAAAAACTTATTATTTATACAAAAAAAACGAGCACGTACCTGGCTGTAATAATACTGGTCGAGATAGTACGACCCCTGCACGATTTGATGCCCTGCACCGAAGTACTGCACCACTAGCGCCGCTTCCAGCATCTAAGAGTGATCTTCGGGCTCCGACAACAAGTCTTCCGTCGGCGAGCACATGCCTGGGGGACAACGAGTATATTAGAGAACAATATTACGCATATAGTTATTATATCCGAGGTTTTAATATATAGGATGCAACAGCCACGTTTGTTTCTAGTGGTAATATTCTCGGCAAAATGTGAGAATGTCGTGTGTAACATTTACCACAATGGCAACTTTCGACAAATGCCTCTAACTAATCTATTAAGAATTATAGTCGTGAGCATATTTATTTGGATATAGAGCGTTTCTATCCTAAACATAGATTTACACATTAATATTTTTTTTACAAAATATATATAAATTGTTATAGTAAGTAGTTTAATAAATTATATGTATTTGATATTTTTGTGCATTACAGGTTTTTGTATTTTATGCACGAAAAAAATTAACTCACTCTTGCGCCACCTGCCCATTTCTATCTGTTCTCCTTTAACCAAAGGTTGTCTGTAAGAGATTGCCCTAGCGATAAGACCGCCTTTTGTCCCTTTATGTGTATATTTCAAACTGTATTTATGTTACTGCATTTCACTTGAATAATTCACTTGTCATTGTATATTTTTATTTATGGTGCAATAAAGAGTTAAATAAATATATTAAAAAACATTACAATAAAAAAATGTCTCCGTAAAGATAGAATTGGATAATACCTGGTCTTATTTTATAAAAATTCCCGAATTAAAATTATCCACTTAAATACCTACGGAGATAAATTTACTTTCTTCTTGGACTGTCCAATAGAGAAATGAACTTTTTAATCCATATCTGTGATTTACACCATTACGTCCGATATATACCTTTAGATACGTTATACCACGTCCATGCTCACACTATGTTGGCCTATAGAGCAATTGTCTATATGTAGGTATTTTAAAAATATTTATAATTAATTAATAAGAACATGTTTTTCTAAGAGTTCTTTTCACTGCAATCTTAATTCACTTCATAGATTAAACCAGTTTTAAGATGACATTTTGACATGAAGAAATATCAAAGAAACATGCTCGTAATAAAGAATATTATACTATATGTATTTCTAAAGTTTAATTAAACTATCTAACGACATAGAAATACGTTATGACGCGTTACATGTTACATGAGCAACTCATTTAATGCGCACTAAGAATGTCTCACTTTGGTCATATCAGCACAAGTCAGCGACGCCACTAGCGAATAACTTAGACGGAAGTTCCATCATAAAAGTCTTACGAGGGACTCTTAGCCTTAACTTAGTTACGGACTTGTAATTTGATACACATAAAAAGAACAAGTCCGAGAATACGGGGACTACCTATATAAGTAGAACATTGTCTATGTAAAGTTTAAGAGGTCTGATTCTGAACTATACATGTTATATGTTACGGTTGCACCTGTTTCCAAAAAAAATATTACAATTGCAGAATAAACCAAAAATGTAAAATAATGTAGTACGTAGTTCATCTATATGTATATATATATATATATATATATATATATATATATCTCAATAAAGTTTAAATAAATAATACTAAAATGTTATAATTATATTTAATATTATCCGTTATTATAAATTATATATAATTTATATTATCCGTTTTAATAAGAAAACTTTTCTAATATATTGATTTTTGATCATTCGTTTATTATAAATATAAAAAAATTTAATTGTATGTGTGTTAGTCAATAACGCTTAAATGGTTGTACTCGTATAGTTGTTGAAGAATAGGGCCTATATAAATAAAGATCGTTTTGATAACACTTTTACACTATTTATGCAGGCGAAACTAATGATTACTATAATTTATCGATATTACAATATTTAATTTTTTTATGTGATTAATATTCAAAATACTATTACAATTTTCTTCCCCAAGGAATCGAAACTTCCCACGGAATTTTTATATATACGATTATATTAAACTTATAATATATTCGTTCCAACAAACCTACTTACCTACCCTGATAGGCATATTGAATCTTGATACGTTCGACGTTATATGACAGGCCATCTACAGATTTTTGCGATATTCGATCACTGCCAATTTTCCACTGACACACACGAGTCACAGTTTTTTATACACACTGACATGGAAATCTAATTTTCTGCTTCAATGTTTTGGTATTCGTCTATCTTCACGGAACAAAATATTCTGAAAAGGTCTAAAAGTAAAATAAAATAGCAAGGAAAGATAAAATGACCCCGTAGTTAAAGGTCGCAAATCTTAGGTTTGTTGGTCCGAATAATACCTTTGCAAGAATACAGAACGAAAAATTGTTTGTATACCTACTTATTTGAATTAGTTAACATGACAAACATAATACATCTATTATTTCGTATGATTTCGCAAACATTTAGTTATTTACAATGGCACTAAGGGTGGCGAAACTAAACAGAATAGTACTAATTTACTAGCTATACATTACACATTTTGATTGTGACCTAAACAAATGAACATCTAAACAGGTACACGGGTAAGGTGTCTAAAGTTTATTGCAAAACGAGAGTAAATACCTATTGCTAAGTCAATGTTGATACCATTTAAGCATGACAAGTACTCGTAACTAAGACCAATTTTGTTTTACATCGAGTATTCGACTCAAGATTGAGTGACAGATCAGATATGATCATAATGGAGAAAAATGTTAGTAATTTATTGCTTATTATAGGTGAAAGAATTTTTGAAATCGATTGAATAGTTTTTGAATTTATCTATTACAAACAATGAATCCAATTTTTCCTTTTTTTAATATCAGTATTGATTTAGATTAATATAATATTTATGGCCACTTTATTGTACATAAAGATTGTCTAAATTTCTGAATAGGCCTAAATCTAAATATCAAATTAGAAAAAAATCAAACAATGAAGTAATCGTATAATTATGTATTCGTATGGTTCCGACATAGAATGGATCACCCCTTCCTTTCCCTTGAGTGTCGTAGGGAACTTAATGATCGAGGGATCGTCCAGCAATGTCCTATTTAAATATTACCAAGCCTAGCTACGGTTGGCAAACCGCCTGCTAAGCGTAGCAACTACAGGCAAAAGCCTTCCAATAAAACGAGGCCTGTATTAAGCAGTTGACAGTTAACGGCTGATATGATGATGATGATAATTATGTTTTATATCTAACAAATATTTACTCGTTTGAAAGAGCCACGTGATACATAAACAATAGGTTTAAATTTACATTTACTATTTACATTGAATACTTGGCAGTATTAACGTCTTTTAAGCTTTCATTGCTATTCTGATGCCATAAGTCAAGTGCCACCGTTATCATTTGTTGCACGCTCACCTTGACGTGCCTTAGTAACTATTTTACAGCATTAACAAGTAACCCTACAGGTATAAATGTTACGAAGTCTCTAAAATAAACGCCTAAAACACGTTGAAGCGATAAAACAAGTGTTTTGAGGATAAGTAACTTGTTTTAAGAGCATTTTAGCTGAATAAATGTAAACTTTGTATTCAACGCGGTAATGTAATCTGATATTATAAATTTACAACACTCTTCCTTGATATTATACGGCTTTATTATAAAATATCGTAAATTTTGTATTATATAGGATATCATAAAGCTATTATATTCGGCCAAGTTCAAAGAGAAGGAAGATTCGCAATTCTACTCCTCATATTTTTTTTGTACCTATATGTTATTTGATACTTTCGCTAATACAGCACCTATTTTCTTTTAATGAGCTATATGTATTTGATCTTGTACTAATTATTTTCGGAACTGTCTATGTGTTTTGTTAAACAAAATTTTCAATTAATAAACACATATACAATCCTTCTTGTCGCAAAGGTAGCTAAAACAACAAAAATTACGAAAACTATAGTTAATCACCGATGAAAAATATATTTAACAATGTGTGGGTACCTACATAGCTATGTAGCTATAGTTCATGTGAATTACAATAAGAATATATATATATATATATATATATATATATATATATATATATATATACTACCCACCCTTATTCTAAATAATGACTTTATATTTATACAGCATATACATATATTTTGGATTAAAAAAAATATATTTCAGATCTGAAATCGTTAGAGTTACATGTAAAGCGGAAAGTGACTAACAGACTGCAAAGTCCGCCATTTTATTCAACACTATCTTGTCGTTAGATGTTGAACGAAGGAGCAACTTTCCGAAACACCCGTAACACATTCGCCGGAATAAGCTACCGAGATCTGTCTATCGATTGTTATTTATTACCTCCCACCCCAATAGCTATTGAACTATTTGCGATTAAATATGTGGCTGAGACCTACTTTATCCTGCACCCGAGATAAACGGAAATAACAAAACTGCTCAGTTTGTTTGTGGAAATCGGTTACATACAAATGTAACGTAATAGTCGTTTTTAAAGAACATAATACAACATTTTAGGGAACGTGTAATATGTACATTATTCATTTTTGACAACACACTCTTGTTTATCACCAGTTTATATATTAGAAAAAATAAATAAGAAACATTAATGAATATCGTGTAACATGTAGCATATTTTATTCCGTACTACAGATATTAGGATGCCCATTATATAAGTGCGAATATATATAGATATATATATTTTAAACAATATTTTCATTCGGACATTTGGTGAAACTATAGGCATAGTATAGCGTACTGCGTCAATACCGAGAAACTGGTAATTCAATCAGAACAACGAGTCAAAACAAATTTTACACTAGTGTGTGTGTCATATAAATAAGTGTATGTGACAGTTCTAAATTTGTATAGAATAAAAGTTGCAAAAATAGCAGAAATTCAGAAATTTATTATAAATTTTAATTTTAATTCAATTATAATTTAAATATATATATTTCTACAAATTCTTGTACAATTCTTGTTCAAAGCGTAATTATATGAAAAATGTATAATATTGCTATTTTTTGTTCTAATTTATATTATATCTAGATAAACACATTTAGTTTTAACCAACTACATTCACATAAACATGTGAATTTGTTAAATTTACGCTGTTAACTTTGTTGATTATACAATACTATCATACCTAC